TCAGTGGCCGTAGCCCCCGCTGGCCTGGCCGCCGTAGCCGGAGGCGCTGCCCTTGGCCTTGGCCAGAGCCTTGGAGGCCGCCGCCTGCGCCTGGGCTGCTGCTGCCTGCGCCGACTGCAGCTCACTCAGGGCCAGCGACTGCTGCTGGTTCAGGGAGTTGGCCGCCTGCTGAGCCTGCCATGCCATGGCAGCCTGTGACGACTGCACCGCCTGGGCTGCCTGCAGAGCCTGCAGAGCCTGCGCGGCCACAGCTCTGGCCTCCGCCTGTGCTGCTGAAATTGCATGCGAGAGACCCTGAACGAAGTTCAAGACAGCCTTTGCAGACTGCTCAGCAGTAGCGGCCTGTGAAGACAGAGAGGACTCGGCAAAGGCGGCCGCCTGCGCCCCCTGCGCTGCCTGTGTGATCTGTGCTGCCTGCGCCTGCTTCTGAGCCGCCGCGGCGGTGGCAGTCTGAGCCGCAGCGGACGCGGTCGCGGCAGCCTGCTTGGCGGCAGCAGAGGCGGCAGACTGGGCCACGCCCTTGAGTCCAGCGGCTGCGGCGGTGGCCTGGGCGGCCGCCTGGTTGGCCACGTCGGCGGCGCTAGGGCCATGGTGGCCTCCGCCTCCTCCGGCGCCGACGATCAGGTAGCCTCCGCCGCCTCCGCTCCCGTAGCCGCCGCCGGAGCCGCTGCCACCTCCGAACCCGCCGGAATGACCGCCTCCGAGGAACCCTCTCTTCTCCTGCAGAATTAATAAATTTATTTCAAGAAAATCGATAGAGCGGTGGTCTGATATGCAACAATTGTTCTCTTTTGCGCAAATCCACTGTGTCCAATCAACCCCAACGGCTCAGTAACAACTCACCCTGACAGTTTCCTCGGCATTGCTGGAGTCAGCAATCGCGAAGCCTGGAGAAGACAGACGGGTTAATGCTTTGCCTCACGTCCTTGATGCTTGAATTTGGGAAGTGTGGAGAACGAGAGGAGGCAGAACATAACAATGAAAGCGAAGAAAACCAAAGAGAAGAGAAGAGCCTAAATAATCACGAAAATGGAGGTGAAGAGGCAAATAAAAAAAGAAAAAGAAAGAAAGAAATATGATGATGGATAAATAAGATTAATACTAATTTTCAGAACATTATCATTATCACATTTATTCTTATTATCTTTATCCTTAGTTTACTAATATTCTTAGAAGAAAGAACAGACAGAGGAGGAATTTAAAGAAGGTAATATGGAGGAAGGTAATAAGGAGGAGGAAACAGAAAAAGTAAAAAAAAAAAAGAGGAAAGTACGAGAACCCCATAAAACAAGGAAGACAAATTTACCCATAAAACTCACCGACGAGGCACAGGAGAGCTGTGTACTTGAGGAAGGCCATTGCGAACTGATGTCTGACGAATGGTTCGCTCGCCCCTTTATACCCAGGCCCTTCGACGTTGTTACAACACATCCCGTTTTCTATAGGTGAAAGAGAGCGAGAAGACGAAGGAAACGAAGAGCGGATTGTGTAGTAAGCGTGTCAGCATTTTCATGTTCTTTTTTAATTTTTTTCCCCTCCTATATATATATATATTTTAACTGTCTATCTATCTATCCATCTATCTCCCATTCCTCTCTCTCTCTCTCTCTCTCTCTCTCTTTCTTTGGTTACATTTTACTTTCAACTCCCGTAAAAACACTTGATAATGTCGAGATGAGCGATGAGTTCCTAAAGATAATGTGATACGAAGACTTTGGGATTTATGGGACTCCCCAGGTTATGGAGTTTTGCAGAATAGGGGAATGGAGAAGGACAGAATGATGGTGACGGGGCTGCCTCAACCATCGAGATTATTTGATGGTTACAATCAAGATGGTATGCATATAGAAGGGTAGATAGATATAATATATATACATAAATATGTGTATGTCTGCATGGATGTATAAATCGTTGAAACCACAGGACTGCTCAAGAAATTTTATTCGCTGTGAGCTAACATGCCATTCAGACGCTCTTTTGATGCCGTCTTGTTTCCATCGCGGCCGCGAACCTTTCCGCGGAGATGGCTGTTCGCCGCGCATGAAATTGGGAAATCGAAGCACGTCAGTCACCGGTCAGATGCGGCGAGCGGCGGACCCAACGCGGCCGTCTCACCAAATAGATTCGTCTGGAACCGAAGATTATTTTATTTTTTTGGATTATTATTCTCTTTCCCTCTTACTTTTCTTTAAATATATTTATTTTTGTCTGTCTTTTCTTGTCTGTTTTTCCTCTTGCTCTCTCTCTCTCTCTCTCTCTCTCTCTCTTTCTTTGGTTACATTTTACTTTCAACTCCCGTAAAAACACTTGATAATGTCGAGATGAGCGATGAGTTCCTAAAGATAATGTGATACGAAGACTTTGGGATTTATGGGACTCCCCAGGTTATGGAGTTTTGCAGAATAGGGGAATGGAGAAGGACAGAATGATGGTGACGGGGCTGCCTCAACCATCGAGATTATTTGATGGTTACAATCAAGATGGTATGCATATAGAAGGGTAGATAGATATAATATATATATATATAGATATATATATATATATATCTATATATATATATATCTATATATATATATATATATATCTATATATATATATATCTATATATATATATATATACATAAATATGTGTATGTCTGCATGGATGTATAAATCGTGAAACCACAGGACTGCTCAAGAAATTTTATTCGCTGTGAGCTAACATGCCATTCAGACGCTCTTTTGATGCCGTCTTGTTCCATCGCGGCCGCGAACCTTTCCGCGGAGATGGCTGTTCGCCGCGCATGAAATTGGGAAATCGAAGCACGTCAGTCACCGGTCAGATGCGGCGAGCGGCGGACCCAACGCGGCCGTCTCACCAAATAGATTCGTCTGGAACCGAAGATTATTTTATTTTTTTTGGATTATTATTCTCTTTCCCTCTTACTTTTCTTTAAATATGTTTATTTTTGTCTGTCTTTTCTTGTCTGTTTTTCCTCTTGCTCTCTCTCTCTCTCTTTCTTTGGTTACATTTTACTTTCAACTCCCGTAAAAACACTTGATAATGTCGAGATGAGCGATGAGTTCCTAAAGATAATGTGATACGAAGACTTAGGGATTTATGGGACTCCCCAGGTTATGGAGTTTTGCAGAATAGGGGAAGGGAGAAGGACAGAATGATGGTGACGGGGCTGCCTCAACCATCGAGATTATTTGATGGTTACAATCAAGATGGTATGCATATAGAAGGGTAGATAGATATAATATATATATATATATATATATCTATATATATATATATAGATATATATATATATAGATATATATATATATAGATATATATATATATATAGATATATATATATATATATATCTATATATATATATATCTATATATATATATATAATATATATATATATATAGATATATATATATATATATATATATATATATATATATATCTATATATATATATATATAGATATATATATATATACTAATAACATATAAGTATATACATATATATTTGTACATATATGTGTACGTATATGTATGTATATGTATATATATATTTATTTATTTATTTATTTGTTTATTTATTTATATGCATACACGTGCACACACACAGACACACACATATATATATGGAAATATATATATATATATATATATTAATGTATGTATATACATACGTACATGCATATATATATGTATATATATATATATATATATATATATATATATATATATATATATATATATATATTTATATATGTGTGTGTGTGTGTGTGTGAATGTATAGATAAATAGATATAGATATATACGAATATACATATACATATATATACATCTATATATATATGTGTGTGTGTGTGTATGTGTTTATGATTAATTTATTTATTCATTGTACCCAATAATGGACCTTAAATAAACAGCCATTGCTCTCATATTCCAAGTATTCTCAATACACTCACTCACTTAGCCAAGGCAGACAGGCAGGCAACAAGTTATCTTGGCCTTAATCTGATAAACAGGGAAGTCATACGTTGCTAAAAGGCCATCTGCTATTCCAACTGGGACCTGCAATATTGATTTATGCAACCGGCAGCATTATTCCTCATGTCAGAGAGTGCCTGTGTGTTCGAACTGTAGCGACGGCTTCGAACGGTGGGGGGGCTACGCAGGCGGGAGGAGAGTGAGATTAGATTAAAAAAATAAAAAAATAAATAAAATACATAAATGAATGTAGCTTTTGTATAGCCTTAAAGACATTCACCCAGACCACACACACACACTAATACATGCATACATATAATAAGACGCACGCACACACACACATGCACGAATACATATATGCATTCACATACACACACAAACTAATACATAAGCATATATGTTAAAACGCATACATACACACACACATGCACAAATACATACTTTCATCCACACACACACGAAAGCATATGTATGTATGTGTACGTACATATGTAAAAGAAAAAATGACACATTGTTACTTATAATCTTCAACTATTCATATCCCTGTGAGACACATAAAAAAGGAGAGAGAAAATGTCACACACATGAAAAAGACAAAACGAATATCTTTATAAAAAAATAAACTCATTCCGAATCTGTCTGATTTGATTACGCCCAAAGATACAACTCCCTCCCCCTTCCCACATCCCTTCCTCCCCCTTCCCCCCTTCCCCTCTCCCGACCCAGACTGAAATTAATTGCTTTGTCGGAAGTACTTTGTTGTTTCCTAATTATTTGTTGTTATTGTTAATGTAATGTCATTCCGGATGTTGTGTTCCTGCTCTTGTACTTTCTTCAACTATCATTCTGAGTGGGAGCATGTAAGTATACATTTATATATATGCTTATACATACAGTATCTATTTGGTTATCTCTTTCTCTCTCTCTCTTTATATATATGTATGTATATATATGTGTGTGTGTGTGCGTATGTGGGTATATGTATGTATTTTCATATATATATATATACATACATATATATATATATATGTATATATATGTGTGTGTGTGTGTGTGTGTGTGTGTACATACACACATGTATATACATGCACATACATACATATATATATATATATATATATATATATATATATATATATATATATATATATATATATACATATAAATATATATAAACATATATATATATACAAACACATACATACACACACACATACACACATATATACATATATGATGTATATACATACACACATATATACACATATATATAATTATATTTGTGTACACACACGCACGAGAGAGACGAGGTAGTCAGAGAGCTAAAGGGAAAGAGAGAGGAGGAAAGAGAGAGTCCAAGATGCAGAAAGAGAGAGAGGGCGGCAGTCAGAGAGAACTAGGTAGACAGAGAGAGAGAGAGAAGGGGGAGGGAGTCAGAGAACTAGAGAGAGAGAGAGAGGAAGGAAGATGGGGTCAAAGAGAGAAAGAGAGGGGGAGTCAGAGAGAACTAGATAGATAGATAGATGGAGAGAGAGAGGGGGGGGGGGCGAGAATAAGAAATATCACAACAGCACAAGAATACATGTCACAGAATGAAGCAAACAGAGATTCCCCGCCCGGACGCATACACATAGTGAGAGAGACGTTATATGTGTGTGCGTGCAAGAAAGATGAAGTATTTTCCCAATGCTCTCCCACTCCAGTGTTAGGCATATTCGCACGTAATAAAGATCAAGGAAAATCCATCAACCAAGACCACCCATTATGTTCCCCGTCCCCATCCCCTTCCTGTCCTAATACATTCTCTCTTGTAAGATGAAGCTCATAGGGCCGCTGGGCTGGGAAAGTTGGCACCGCTGTCTCCCGGTTTTTGGAAGACGATGCTATATACATTATACTTTTGTTTTGTTTTCTTACGCATGCACACCACGCACACGCGCACACATACATGTATATAAATACACACATAAATAAACACACATACACATATGTCATTTATTTATTCTTTATACACAAATATATACCATTTGCATTGTTTTTCAAACTGAGTGTCACGGTACTCTAAAATATTGTAGGCAGTACCTAGGAGTGACGCAAGATTCCGTAGCAAAATTAATCCCCCACTTCTCTCCCAATCTATTTATCTATCTACCTCTTCTCTCTATCGCCTCTTCACTTTTCGTCTCTTCCCTTCTCTCTCTCTCTCTCTCTCTCCTCATACGAACCTATACATTGTTGATTTCAGCAGCTACTAGAAGGTTCGCATTGTCTGCACTTTGCTCCTAAGAAGTTCATTATCCTCAGCGCGGTTGACACAATGAATGAAGAATACGGATAAAGAAAAAAAAAAACAGCTTTGTTTTTGTTGGAAGCCTTTAATGAGGTTCATGACGATAATGAGTGGTTCACTGGCTCCGGGGTAATTTGTCAGGGTGGTTTTCTGGATCCGTTTACT